AGAAATCGTAAAAAATGGCGCTGCGAGAACTGGCCTTAAGTCAAAGCACGACCGACGCTACGAGCCGTTAGGACCAATAAAATTTGCGTCAATCGCGCAACGTCATGGTGTTCGTCATCTCTTTGCACGTGCATGATTTGAAGTAAAAAACAGCGCTATGGGACAAGGACAAAGAGAAAGAACATGTGCGACAGGACAGGCGCTGACTCACAACTATATGGTTTACTAGAAGAAGACACAGACAAAAACACGAAATACTTCGCACGTGCGTCCGGTCCAACAAAGCCCTCGTGATACACGGTCCTACCGACTCCGTTTTGTCCTCCTCCCATAGCGCTATGTTTCCTTTAATCGTGTAGAACGACTACCGGCTGCCTCAACTATCCACCAGAGCCGTATATGTAGAGAGTTTGGTCAATGGGAGGCGCGGGCAGAGCCAGGGCGTGCACCAGACTCGGAAAGAGGGCTTGGCACGCTCTCTTGACCAACCAGAAGCCGAAAAGAATCCCCTAGCGGTGGTAGCGAGAAACAGTTCTGATCAAAAGTCTATGTTCGTAAATGGTTTTAATAAGCGCGTAAGAGTGAAGCGTAGTAACTCTTCGTGGTTTAAAATAGGGTGCACGTGTTGTTTTGATCATGATCATGCAGAAAGATGTAAGAAACGAATGCGCCACTCAACTCTGTTTTACTCGGACAGAGTGTGACCGCTCGGACGGCAGATTCCCGGCCCTCGGCGCTTGGCTTACGGATTATGTCGATCGTTCCGCTAGTCGCACTCCTCCACCATTATTTTGGATGAGCGTGATTGAAACATCACGTGTACCATATTTTCAGTCATCGAGAGTTCCTCTAATGCAGTTATCAGGTTTGTTTCTCGCGACCACCGCCAGGGTATTATTTCCGGCTTCTGGTTGGTCACATTCGAATTTCTGAAGACGCCCTGGAACATGCCCAGCCCGCTTTCAGCCAATGGCGCCTCCTCATTCGTCTCCTATACTTCCCAACAAATGGCCAAACTCTCTACATATACGGCTCTGCTATCCACTTTACTACTCTTTGCACGTGTTCTGCTATCGGCTAAAGGAGTCAGGTGCTCCACGCGTCTCCTTGGCTGCGAGCCTCCTACTTCGCTCTGACTTGCGACGAAACGAAGTATACACCATTCCAATAATCGGTCTCTGAGCGCTGCAATCTTTGTCTGTTTGTCTGTGGAGCGCCTTCTGGACGTGCGCGGCGGCTCTTTTCTGGTGAATATTAGAGACGTCGCGCACGCGTCCATAGCCCAGTGAGTCGGCACTTTTCGCCCGGGGGATGAGCGCTGAAAAGCTGCATAGCCATGATCACTGAAAGCGTTATACTACGTTTCACTTCGCCGTGATGGTGCACTTTTGGCGCCGCTTAACTGGCTGGATCGGGTCGTAACTTCGGCTGCGCTAGGACTTAGAGTGAAAGGGAGTATGCAACTGGCCTTTCGGAAAGCTCCCGAGCAACACAGGGAGGCCGACTCGACGTGTCGTCGATACGAGTTGCGTCGATCGCTGACGTCAGCGGAGCCGTGTTCCCCGGCCACTTGATTTCAGCGGCGCAAACTGTTCTCCCGCGTGTAGTAGGCTACGTCAGAGCTGACGGCCTCCCTCACGATCGATAGCCGAGGCAGTTCGGTTGGAAAGGGAACTGGCGTCACGGAGTCCGGCCTGGTCGAAGGCAGGCGTCACAAAGGGCTGGGCTAATAAGGCGGATCAAATAGCCTACCCCCAATCGGGTGGTTTTCGTCGCTCAAGGCATTTTTTACATCCGGAAGTATCAATCATGTGCGAGCGTGGATGCACGTGTGTTTTAACACGACGGAAAGTTGGAAAGTACTTTTGCGTGAATCCGGATAAACTTGCTTTTACGAATTGCTAAGCCATGAATGGTTGCTCTTAGTCAGTAAATTAATTTGTTAATCGGATAAAAGAGGAATTTAATAGATTTTCTAAAGTATGACGATAATATAAATGGAGGAGTCAGTTTTTGGGAGCAAAATGTAACTTTTGGTAAATAAGTCGAGCACTAAGGAGCTGCGGGCGAGAGCCCAGCTACACGCGCTTCACGTTCTGGTATCTGCAGCGGTAACTATTATATATTTTTAAAAAAATCTTACACAAATTGTCCGTTGAACGTGCGTTTGATAACGCCCTATTTTATCGAATCTTTTGTAAAGATCACACGAGCGCGTGCAGTGCGTGCTCGTATTTTTCCAGCACGCTATTCTATTATTGGGTAATTTGGTATAATGCTTAACATCTGGTATCTATACATAGCCTAATTTTACTCTTTTTTTTTTTTTTACGGGCACGTTAATTAAAGTTTTTGAGCTGATGAAAGGAGTAGCAAACAAAGAAAAAAGATGTAGAAACTTTTTCGGTGGCATTAGGGTGCCAACTAATAAGCTTCATTTGAAGTAATAGAAAAGTGTGAGTTATGCAGATATGTGTTACTGTACTTGTGCTTTGGTTAATACTTTCGGCTTTAGAGGGTCTTGCGTGCTTTATATTTTTATACATTCGTAAAAAAAGATACAATTTTGGTGTTGCGTACTCAAAATATAACGTCACAAAAGCTTAAGAAATTGTCAAGTAATTAAATGCAATATATTGAGTTCTACAGCGACGCAAACAAAAAAATACCCGTGACAACCCCACATAAATGTCCACTATTGACTCATTTATTGGCTGAGAAACGAACCGGCGACTACAAAGTATTCGGTTAATTCGTAAATTAATCAATTATTTTACAACTTATTTTTTACATTGAAGCATTTTTATACCTTGTTTAAAACGCTTTAGACCTCAAAATTAACTCTGCGCTGTGGCATTACGCAATGCAATCATGACGCCTTACATTGCGTAATGGCACAGCGTAGACTTAATTTTGAGGTCTAAACGGATGTTCCGCCTCTTCATTCGCTGAGCTAATTTCGTATATCGCTTAGATTGGCTCTTCGAGTGTTTTGCGGGTAAGTAGATGCTCAGGCATTTCTTAGAGTGTAGCTTTGGATTAAACATCATCACTCTCTGCGACCTGGCAGTGCGCATGATGTGAGCGTGTGAAACGGTATGCTGAGTGTGGCAGATAGTAAATAAATTCCTAGACTAAGAAAATATTTTTGGCCTCGTTCTGGCTTGGTCTTTTAGAACGGCGCAGTAAGAGAAAACAGAAATCACGCACGTTTTGTTGTGTTCGCATGGTCAGACTCAAATTATCACAAGAACTTGTGAAACGTTTTAGGTAATAGATAAACACGATTAGCTCCAAGGTATTCCTTGCCTCTAATGGAACAGTTGCTACACCGGCACGCTCGAAGGGCTCGAAAACTGTAGCGTAGTAAGCACACTCTACTAAGCCTCTCTAATCCTTTCACACATCGAAATCAGTCCAGCATCGCCACGTCCGAAACTCTGCCCGACGTGCGTGCGCCTTCGGCGAATGGGCCGACACCCGACGCTGACATACTGCAGTCAGTTCAACACGGTGCCTTCCGAGGCTTTTAACTGGAACGAGATTACGAAACAGCGAGGGCCGGAGTCGGTGGACTGCCGCTGTGTGCAATGGAGGGGCAGTCGGTCATCAAGTAAAGCCTCGCTGAGTGCTGCCTAGTGTTCGCTGGCATCCTGAGAGCGACATATGCTTCTTGGCTGCGCCGCACTAAACGTGCCAGTGTGTCGAGTTGTGATTCAGATTACATCGACCTCTATCAGGTTAATAGAGAGGAAACCAGGCAGGAATGAAGACAGGTCCTTCGTCTCCTATGCAGACTAGTCAAGGAACTATACGGATTATACTGAAAATAAAGCCCACAAAAAGACGATAACTTCGACTGTGAAATTTACTGAGCATTCGCAGTGCATTTAAAAATACTGTTACTGACTTCGTCAAGACTTGGTCGAAGTAGAATAGTGAGTGGGAAACAGAAAACTCCGCATCGTAAAACTGACTAATAAATGTTGAATCAACGTTTTGAAAACGAATCGCGGCTCATAGGTTATGTATGTAGTAGTGCACGCGTGGATATGTAACCTAACCTAGAAAACAATGCCTGTTGGCATGATTTTAGCTTGGCGAACAGTTCTGGCTTAGAGAGCCTTGTCTGGCTATTGCCTCCGCTCTTCAGTGATCAAATAATTATTACCTGCTCGTAAAATTAGGTTGAATGAAGAATTGGTGCCCCTATATGGTGGCCAACTAATTTCGCTTTTCATAATTATTCGTTCGTAATGCGATGGCATCGGTTTATTGCATTAAGTACTGGAAGAGTTTCGTGCTTTTTTGTTTAAAGTTGGCTTGACCCACTAGACCAGGGTTCTCAAATTCATTCGAATGTAGGGACCAGATAGCCCGCCCCTGAAAGGATGAGGGCCAACGGAGGCGGCGGCAATCTTTTTTTTCTTTTGGGACAAAACAAAAACAAACAAGAAACAGCATTGGTATTTCACGTTTTAAAGCAGCTGACTCTCTCGGCGACGCCTCAGAGATTTTAAAGACAAGGAACCTTATGCCTTCTGTAACTTCATCGTTTTGCCTTTTAAGCTTTTATTTGCATATTCGACTATTTTAGGCTCATGCATGATTTTATAGAAAGATTTAAAACAACATCATACCAGACTACTGCCAGCTTTCAAAAGAACGAGAGCAAGCTCGCACAATTAAGTACGCTCAACAGGCATAGAAAAAAATATCTCTTCATGTGAATTTTTTTCTTTTTAGACAATTTTTATAGCAGCATTATAAGCAAATACGTTCATTTTAAAGGTGTCGCCTGACATCTAGAAACACGAGCTCATAGCGTTATCTGGCCGTTGCTCCTGTTGTGCAAGAGTTTACGCTGCCGAGGCGCCTCCTTGAGCAAAGAGCTCGCAACTGTGTACCCCAGTAGTGGCATATTGCCACTAGACCAACGCTGCATACGTTTCTCCCAAAGTGTATGTATGAAGGAACGTCAGAGACGCGTCTATACTCACGAATGCCCGGCAGCGGATCTCCAGGAGACGGACAGGGCTGGCTTGCAGTCCCCGACGCAGCGTCCATCGGTGATGAGTTGGCGTCTGAAGATGAGACCAGGCTCGCGATGGAGCCCGCCTGAGACGAACCGAGCAGCGTCGGCACCACGAAATCGATGGGGCGATCCTGGCTGCCAGAAGACAGACGGGGAACCGGATCTCAGGTGGCACCAGGACGCTAGCCTCGCCACTTATACCTGATTTTCACATGTTCGTACACAATTTAATGGATGCTAATGTTGGACAAACCTTTTTCGACTTCGGTTGAATGCGAAAGCAGCTAGGAGGCGACCGAGAAGTGCACGCACGCCTTACGCTACGCGAACATATGGGATAGTAATGAGTTTTAGTGTTGCGGGTACGAGAAAATGCAAGCGCTATGCGTTTGCGTCAGCGTTGGGTGTTACACGCTGCGCATGCGTGAAGTCGCCATGCGCCAATTGAAGGCCGCAGTTTGGGCTCCGCGCACGCGCAATGTGGAACACGCAAAGCTAACGCAAACGCACGGAGCTTGCGCTTGCTCGTATACGCAATACTAAAACTCACTCGTGAGTTTTCTGTAGATCGTTTTCGCCGCCCCGCGACGACCCTCCGCAACCCGCTACGATAGCCGGAACTCTACAGTCAAGGCCATCGGCGCGCAGGCGGAGTAGAGGCTTCTTTGTTGCGGAGGTTTTAGCGGTGGGGGTGGGGGGGGGGGGGGGGGGGGGGGAACGTGGTCTATGAAAACTCCCTATTAACTCGACGAATTAAGCCTGACGATCATTTATCTCGCAAGTTTTTTTTTTCTTTTTTTTGTATAACGTGATTTTACAAGCGCTTCTGCAAGAAAGGTACATTCTCAAGTCACACGGTCGTGCCGTTGCCCCATACAACGCTAGAGCACCTTGCGCATGCTGTTTTGTTTTTTTGTTTTTGTTTTTTGTTTATGTACAATCGGGCCGTAAAATAAGTTAACTATAACGCATTGGAAACGTGGTGGGGACGCCGCACGTCTTTGGACTGGTCTGCAGTACTGGGCGACTCGTCGGGTTCAAGACAAAAGCACGCGGATTCGAACGCTCAATGGTTTAAATCCCCTCAAATCCCGGTTGAGGTAATCGCAGTTTAGACGGAGGCCTACTGCAGGAGGGACCGTGTAACTGATATTTTGGTTGCATGTTGTTGATCCACTTGTAGACAAATATTTTTCCTTAGTTTTTATTTGAGGCAAATCAAACGCCATTTTGTGTGTGCGTGTCGCGTGTAAGCTATAACTTATTTAGTTTTCTTCAGCTCCGGCGTCAAGCCTCAATGCCCTGGTTATTGGTGTATTTCAGGGAACGTTCCTTGACACTTTTAACACAAATAGTACATTGGGTTGCAGCTTTCAGGGATGACTGACATGCCTGACCGACACACAATTCACGTGACTTCACGTCAAGTTCTCGTAGTTCAGGTGTGGTGTGACATCACGGTGTCCCGTGACATCAAAGCGTTAGTGACTTCGTGAGGTCACATTACGTCATGAGGTTGCGTGACGTCACACACATATACGCACAGCACGCGCCAGGCTCACCAGCCTCAACAGAACCTGCGCGTCTCCGAGTTTCCCAGAAATGGCCGAGACGCACTTGAATTTTTCCATGAAACCAGCTTTCGCAGAGCACTCACGCGAGGCAGCCGTAGAAGACGGGTTCTGTGGACCGGCGGATGCCGCGCCTGCACGAGGTGCCCTTCGGTCCGCCCAGGTCTTCGAGCGACGGGGCCCCCTCGCTGGCGAGGGGTGCCTGCTTGGTGGCGTCTAGCCTCTCGTACGAGCCCTGCTCGTCCAGATCCCAGAGACGACGACGTCGGCGCCGACGGTGCACCAGGCACGCGACGCTCACCAACGCCACCAGGCTCAGCGATGCCACCAGGAGCGCGGGAAGCACCGCGCTGGCGAAGGTGAACCCGCCTGCGTGTAACGCGCGTGACTGCAATAAGTGCCAGATTTGATAACTGTTAGCGCGTTCTGTGGTACCCAAACGTATACGCGGTGTTACTCGTTACTCTTATATATGTTACACACTGTTTTATGCGGTACCACTTTTTTGTAGCAGCTGTCTAACCTGGAATGCACGGACACAGGACTAGACGGTACCGCTAAGGCGACAGTCAATCTCTTCTTTCTACCTACCTATTGATAAGCCTTAAATAATGTGAAGCGTGCTTTCAATTATCTAAGGCATGTTACAACGAAATATGTCGCAAATTGCCTTGCAATTCCATTGATAAGTGAAAGGTTCTAGGTTTAGCGCCTGTGGTGCTAAACCTCTGGCGGTAAACCTAGTGTTTAGTGGAGTTAGTGTTAGTTAGAGTTAGGGTTAGAGTAAGATATAGCTTAAAGTTAGAGGTAGTTAGAGTTCAAGTTAGTTCAAGTTCGAGTTCGAGTTAGAGATAGAGGTAGAGTAAGTGCTAGAGTGAGTGAAGTTCGTGGTGCTAGCTCCACCTTTCACGTGTTAAATTTCCCGCTAAATGTAAAAGGAAGAAGAAGGAAATAGATGGTGCTATGAACAATTACCCGCTAAATGTAGTAAACTGAATTTATGTGTAGATCACGGGACGTCAATTTTCCCGCTAAATCTAGCGGGGGAACCAAATTTGTGTGTAGGTCACATGAAACTGATCTTGTTTATAGGTCACTTGACACGAAGTCATGGGACATCAGTTTCCCCGCTAAATTTATCGGGGAAACTGAATTAGTGTTGCTACCACGTAGTGTTGATCTCCCCGCTAAATCTAGCGGGGAATCTAAATTTCTGTATAAGTCACGTGACCATGTCCCGTGACTTCAATTTTTTTGTTAAATTTAGAGGGGAAACTGAATTCGCGTGTAAGTCACGTGACACGAAGGCATGCGACGTCATTTCCCCTGATAAATTTAGCGGAGAAATTCGCTATTACGCTTTTTGAAGCTTCACTTAATCTCAAAATCTCGGCGTATACACCTTTTTTCGTTTAGCCTCGCACCCAGCCATATTGCTCCCCTATCCGGTATGCGTTCCGAACAAAAAGCAAGAGATCACAACCCCGAACAAGTAAAAAAGTATAAAAGGGTCATAAAAAGAACGCCTGACGGTTGCAATTAAAATGTTCACACGTTCTACCGTCGAGGCGCGAAGAAAGCGACGTTTTCACGCATACCGGAAGTTCCAGTATTGAAGATGGCGGCGCCCACGTAGAAAAGTTGTACAAAACGTTTCACGCAAGAAAGGTTAGTCAGTGCCGTGACAACCTTCTTTTGTCAGGATCCCTAGAAGATGTGCGTTATATTTTGTTCTTTGTTGTTGCTGCTGGTATATGTTTTGTTGATTGTATTTGAAACGCGATCCACTTACATCGGCAACACCTCTGGCCCTGATGACAAGTATGCAAATAAATAAAACGCCACGCACTTCCAGCAATGTGGAAGCAAACTGAGGCGTTCCTCCTTTCCTTTTAGGAAAGAACCAGTTTCCTAATTAATGTTGCTTGCAACATGATTTTGTACAGCACTCATATACGGAGCTCGTTCGCTTAGCACCTTCTCGGCTGCATAAGTATTAAATAAAAAATAAAAAAAGTTGCTCTAGTCACAATCAACTTAATAAACTCGGGATATATCTTATTGTGTCCGCTTACTACGACTTTCTTTTTCGACTTTATCGTCGGCTAATACCGAAATCGTATTCACGGAAGAGCAATAGTGAGTTTTAGTATTGCGTATACGAGTGAACGCAACCACTGTGCGTTTGCGTCAGCCTTCCGTGTTCCACACTGCGCGTGCGGGGGGCCCAAAATTGCGGTCTTGGATTGGAGCATGGCGACGGCACGCATGCGCGGCATGGAGCACGCAACGCTAACGCAAACCCACAGTGCAAACCCACAGTGCCCACAGCTTGCTCTTATAAGCAATACTAAAACTCTCTATCGTCGTGTTAAGCTGTCCGTCAGAGACTCTATCAGTGGGATTATGGTACGACATTTAATTGGCTTAGTAATTGACTTAGTAGTTAACATCGAATGAACGTTTCCTGTTTACTCAGTAGGTACTGTTTACCGGCGGTGACCTTTAAGCGTACGATTGGTAGCCTCTACTGCATGCCCTCTACAGCGCGCGAGAACGCTGGAAGCGACGCGGACTCTTTCGCGCCGCGTCGCTGCCGTGGGCTCAGAAAGGCGCCTCGCGGATGGGAAGAACACTGATTAGTGGACGGCGAGAAGCCATTCATCCACGTTAGCGATCCAACGACCCGAGGTGCGTCATTAAGACGAATGCAGTCCGCCATTAGTGAATTTCGGGCGCGGTGCCGGAGCCCCGATGGATTAGGCGACCTTGGAGGGTGGAAGAAGTCGTCCCCGACGGCGAAGTTGAATCTCCGTGAGCCAGAGAATAGAAGTTGACGTTTCGGAGCGATGGAGCTGCGAAGACCCGGGGAACAGAAAGCGAACACGAGACAAAAATTGGGAAACACGAAGAGAAGCAGCCGCTAGCTAGGCTGGTTACCGAGGTGGCTTCCTTAATGTCGCACTCTTCGAGTGAACCATAAAAAAAGACGTGTCACAGAGCAGACATGCGTACTGAATTATCTGCTTCAAGCATCTTCGGAGCGTTTTTTTTTTCTTCACAATATTTATGCTCCGCACATGTCTGCAGAGAGTTTTTGTATGACCAACGTGACAGGGTTCTCGTACAGAAAATGAATGGATTTTGGATAAATGTTAATGGCTACACCCTTTGTAACTGGCGGTAGTTTGCGCCACCTAGCCTAAAGAATACGGTTCTGACAGTGTCTGTAGATGTTCTTCTGTATGACGCACGAGTAGTGTATCTCCGGCGTAAGTAATAAAACTTTAAGCATATTCACCGGTACAAATCCTGCCATGTAACTAAAGTCGTTCATTTTGGCGTGAATTTGCAATAAAGAAGTCGTTTCGCGGTGATATTGAGGTGTTTGTTTTTGTGTGTGTGCATAAAGTTAACTTTTACATAACGCCAATAATGGAGTTTGGATAAGTAGAAGTGAAAATCGTCTTCACGGAGTTAAGATACCTCCCTAAACCTTCGAATGACACAACAATGTCATGTATTCGAAAGATTCGCGTAAACAACAACCTAAAGGCCTCGGGCGAACGTTCAGTTACGTAGTATATAGTTGTGTAACGTCGACTTAAAGTACCAGATCTTGTTGTTCATTCACGCAAGTTGTGTAACACGCAACAACAAGGTAAAGTGCGAGAAAACGTACAGTTCGTTTATATGATTAGCATAAACACATGCGTTCGCATAAGCCAGAAAACATTCGAGAGTGAGCGTGTCTTTGAATCCCGACTATTCAATTTGATTTTCTTCTTACCGCGTGCGCACCTTCTTCTTGAAATATTCAGCGCACGCTGCAGAAATGGGCATGTGTAGAAACTGAGACACTGCGAGGTGTACGCAGTTTAGACTAGAGGCTCGCTAAAACGTATCCCCTGAACAAATGCTAAATAAACGATGATAGTGCAATTAAAGGCAGAGGTGCAAGCGAGCTGGACAGTAATAATGAAAATAATCCCCTGAGAAGGGGAACAAGAGGGACAAAGGACAAACGCAAATCTCCAAACACAGCTAGGTGAGTGCTGCGCGACCGAAAATATCCGTCCCGTCCTGGTATCGAACCAAAGACCTCTCCATTTCTAGTGGACCAGGCGGATTTTTTCGGTCACGCACGAGTCACCTAGCTGTGTTTGAAGATTTGTCATTGTCCTACGTCCCCCTTGTTCCCCTCCTCCAGTGATTCTTATCGTCAAACAAACAGTCGGTTTTTTTTTTTTGGTTTTTTTGGCTGCTAGCTTAGAATGGACGACGGGAATTATTCGAGATTTTTTATAGTACTGAGTTCCCACAATGTAACTTTTTTTTTTGTTTTAGGAAGAAGCTTATTTTATGTTGAATTAATATCTTTTTTCTAATCAATCTTTCAGACACTCGGAGCTCTCTGCCCTCTGTATAGACGTTTGCAAGCAGCCGCGCTTCGAGAGCTAGTCTGACCACCGTGGTTGAAAAACGCCTTGTTTGGGCGCCAGTCTGGAAACTGTGGCTACGCCTCAGCAACGTTTAACTATCAGACGATCTACCAACACCAGCAGCAAGATGGCGGCGCACTGGGGCCGTACTTGCAAGCGTCTATAGGCGCGATGTTTTGCGGCCTAAAGCCACGCAGTACCTCGAGCAGATTGAATTTTTTTCTAGGGATGCAAAAAAAAGGTCCGAATCTAATAGCGCGAGGCTTTAAAACTGTGAAAGCGAAAGCCGGCCTCGACAAACCGCGGTTCCCTTTATTAACTCCAAGAAATCCGCAGTATGGGCTTTCCCGCGAAGCACTTTCGGAGAGCCAATCTCTCCGAAATCGGTGAGTGAAAAGGGGGGGCGGGAGGGGGGGGGGGGAGTTAGTTTGCTTCTTTTGTAGCGGTTCTGGTGACGTCAGAACGCCGATCTATGTCGAACAGCGGCAAAAGTGCAACGTCATGGCGCTCATCGTATTTGTGGGCTTGCTATGGCCAACTAAACCACCAACGCCACGCAGAAAAAACGCGTCGCGAGCCTGAGCTTTCTATTTCTTTTTTTCTGCCCGGGATTGATTTAGCACGTGATAGCAGACTCACAGAGACAACGAGCGCCGTTACGATGTACTTTCAGCGCTGCATTGTTGGCACAATCGGATTGTAGCGCCGCGCCGCGTCTGTGTAGTAATATGCTTAGACCTACAAAAACGGCCTTCGCTGCCGCACTGTGTATGGCGAAATGTCACGCCCAGTTCCACAGGGCCCACTGTTTCGATAGGCCTAAACGTATTTCTAGCCCTGTCATTGGCCGGGCTCTCCCGTGGACGGCAGCGATTGGCTGTCCCAGCTGTTCGGCAGAAAAGTAGACGCTCCAGAGTTTCTGGAATATATTGTGATGAAGCTAGGA